CTCTTCGATCAATTATTTGATTTTCCGAACAGAAAATGCATGTTCATTTCGTCGCAAGGTCGCCTCCAATCTTGCAAAGGTTCGATGATCATGGCTGAGGCGCTCTGGATACATTTCTCGAAATAACTCTACAGCACTTCTTGAATTTTTTTGTGACTCGCTGTAAATTAGCAACAACTTTTTCTGAATGACAAAACATTTTGTAAGCACAAAAGTTATACGTTTGATGTTCGTATTGAGTATTGACATTTATGCACTTTAAAAACCACATACTTCTATCTATCTATAGAAGTATGTGTTAAAAACGAACATTCAATTATTTTCTAACGACTACTTCATCCTTCCACCGCTAATGTGATTTTTAGGTGGTATTTACTTTGAAACTCTTTATATGTTATTGATTATACAGGGTTATCCAAAAGTTCCGCTACGGCATTGAAGGTCAAAGTCAAGGTCAAATCCAAGGTCGTCATCAGATAGTCAGGGAAAAATCCTTACACTTTTGTCTAAAACATTTTTTCCCAAAATGCATTATTCGAAAGTTCTGCCGTACCGGGACTTTTAGAAGTCGACCCACATTTGACCTTGAAGGTCATTGTCAAAGTCATGGTTAAGACCATTTTTGGACGTAAAATTTCCTGCTCTTTCCAAATCCGCAATAAAAATAGGGGTTTCCATTTAAAAAACTTAACTTGACCTTCAAATGACCTTGAAGGTCAAAGTCAAGGTCAAATCCAAGGTCGCCATCAGATAGCCAGGGAAAAATCGTTATACTTTTGTCTGAAACATTTTTTCCCAAAATGCTTTCTTCAAAAGTTTTTCTGCCGTACCGGGACTTTTGGATAACCCTGTATATAAAAAATAAACAGGGTTAAAAGGAATTATGACGTTCAAGCAATTTTATTGCATGAATCGTTCAAAGAGTCATTTTAGATGAAAAACCGCGGAGTGCTATTAAATTAAAGGGTGGAGATAGAGGTGAAAATGCACCCCTTTGAGATTATTAATTGTAGCTCGAAAACGAAGCAAAATTTCGCTGTAGTTCATAGGAAAAATTATTTAGAGAATTGAATTTCCCATCGAAATAGCTTATTTAAAAAATTTAAAAGGAAAATTTTATGCAAAAAATAGTTAATAATAAACAATTTGAAAAAAAGTAAAACATTCGATTTTCTGATTTTTTTACTTTTTTGCCTCCAGTTTTTTTTTTTTAGTAAAGATAGGTATAGGCATTGCTTCATAGAAAAAAAAGGAGATCAAATTTCCTTGAAAACAAGAGGTTGTAAAGTATTTTTGGATGAAAATTGACTGATATGGCTGCTCAAATTTAGCCAATTTTTCAATTTTTGTCGCGTTTACCCTTATACGTTTTAATTCCCATTTTTTTCAAAAAAGGAAGGAAATAAGACGTTCAAGGATTTCCATCACATGACTTGTTCGAAGGGTAATTAAAAATGAAAAAAACGCGGGATGCTATTAAATTAGAGGGTTGAAATTGAAGATACGTGTGAAAAAGCACTTTTGCAATTTTTTAAATATAGCACGAAAACGAAACAAAATTTCGTTCATAGGAAAAATTTTGTAGAGAACTGAAATGGCTTATTTAAAAAATGTAAAAGGAAAATTTTATGCAAAAAATCGTTAGTAAACAATTTTAAAGAAAGCAAAAAATAAGATTTTTTTAATTTTTTTTACTTTTTTAATAAAATAATTTAGTAAAAACTTCAGAATTTAAGTACAATAAAGTTTATTAATAATGTATATACAGTGTGTCCACGGATGGACTTGACAAGAGGAGAAACTCTTTTGTTTTGACTTTATCGATACTTTATCGATACTATCGAGTTTGAGACACTGTATACGATGCTAAAAGCAAAAAAGTTTTAGTGAAGATGGGTCAGCAAATGCACCGTTCTCCAGATATAGGGTGTCAAGAAAAAATAATTTTTTTTCAAAAATTCAACACGGCGTCCTTAAGAAAAACAAAAGTTAACTACCGCTCAGTACACACTTTTAAAGATATGTTAATACTGACAGCAAAAATCGATTCCTCACATCATTGAATATCAGACTACACATATTTGTGCAAAAATTTTGAAAAACAAGTGAAATACTACCAAAAAAGAAATAGCATGAAATCGGTTTTCTTCGAATATCTTCGGAACTATTCGAAATTTTCTAAATTTAAAAACAAATCCGTGATCGGCATAAAATTCTGCACATTTATGCCCATTTAACCATTTCTGTATCTCTTAAAACAAGAAAGATACTGTATTGGAGTATTAAAAAGCTGTAACCCTGTATATTTTTTACAGACTTATAATAGGTTTTACGCTTAACGAAATATATTATGTTCGTGGGAACGGGCGATCTCAAGTACATATTTATAGCGCAACTCGATTCTGTCTACATAAATAGGGGTGTGACCTCATACGTGCGTTGTAGGTGCAATTTCGTTCCATTTAGCAGGCAAGTGGGTTCAATAATTACTCCAGTACCCCACATACTTAATCCGCAGCCTCTCTGATTATGGGTATTAAAACCGTAGACGGCCGTCGGGGCAAAATATTATTATATTGGCATCCTTTTTACGGTTATTACAGAAAATGCGATCGTGATCCGGATTTTTCTAAAAAAAAAACGGATAACTAGTGAGCTCAAGCGAGCGATTTTTAGTTTAAGGATATAATGAGGCAGAAACATGTACGAGAAGCTGAGCTAAATTTCAGGTTTTTCATAATAGCGTGTCATTTTTCTGTCTCATAATCAGTCGCTAGTTTGAAAAGGCACATTTTTACACTGATATTTATAATTTTCTATCTAGAAATTCATTTATTATAGTAAAAAAGTACGTTTTTGATATACGTATGTATAAAAGAAAGTGAGGTTAGATTGAAAGTAAGATTCATAAGAAAAAGCAAGTATTACAATAATCATATACAGGGTGATTCACAAACGGTGACCAAAAATGAAACCTCGTATTCTTTGGTGAATTTTAAGTTCGTTTTTTCAGCTTTACTCGAAAATCACGCTTTTTCGAAAAACATCAGGTAGTAGTAATTGGTAGAAAATCAAAAGACGATTCCGAAAATATCATGATTGTTACCGTAAATCAGTGGCGTTCTATTTTATTTAGAGAAATATGTCACCGAGACCCTATACCTCTGCCACTGGAACATCTAAGTTTCAGAAAAAGGCCTCAGATCTTGGACAATGTTTACATAAATACATGTGCCCCATTTCAAATTATTTCACTTACTAGTTTTTAAATTATTTAACCAAATTAAAAATATTTTTTCAAGTTTAATACTCTGTATCTTTTTAACGAAACGTCCTAGAAAAAAAAAATTACCAAAAAATACAAGGTTTCATTTTTGGTCACGATTTGTGAATCACCCTGTCGAAATAGAACCTTAGTCGGACTAGGCCCATTGACGGGAGGCCTGACACGTCAAAGGTCCCGTTTCGAAGTGGTCTAAAATTTCTGTAAAAATTGTGTGAAGAAAAGTGAGAAAAATATTAGATATGAAAAAATTGAACTTTTATTAAAATCCAGCATATACAGAGTGATTCCGTAGTAATATCTTTAATTTTAAGGGATGATAGGGAAAAATCAGTAGAACAAGAATACGCGATTAAAAAAAATTTTTAATGCAGATTTACGCTGAAAAAAAAATATTTCCAAAACATTATTTACACCCCTTTTCGAACCGCTCCTGATCGCTAAGCCACACAGGTTTATCGAGAGTGAATCTTGACCTACTGTAACATTCGGCCATTAACCTAGCTTTTATTGCGCTTTTAATCCGTAGTGCAAGGAATAAATATACTTTTTGTACCTAGACACACAAATAAATAAAATATTTTTTTTACAATTTGCATATTAACAAGTATTATTTATTTTTTTAATAAAAACAAATGTATAAGAATAATTGTTTTCGAATGTAACGTTCTTACAATTTAGTATTTTTAATATTATTAACGTTTGCACTATGTTTTATAATTGAATGAAAGTGTTTATGTTCAATTAATTATCCAGTTTGTAGTACGTATATTTAGTGACTTACTACATTTCAAAGAGTACCTACCTATTTAAAAGTAGCAATATGGTTAAAAAACACTCATTCGTCCGCAGCACTTTGTTAATAAAGTTGGGAACTGCTGTACTTTGATTTTGAAACCAATTGCAAAATTCAAGACGACTAGGGAAATCAGCTGTTTCCGTTCAACGTTCGAAGTTGAGCGCCGAATTAGCGGGAGTTAAGGGGTAATTTGCTTAAATCAGAAGTATCAGATATCTGCTCAGATGATTCAGAGTCAGACACAAGCTCTGAAAGATATTTTTTTAAGTGAATTGGTTATTTCTCTGAATGTACTTTTTTAGGTTGATTTTATATCGAAATTTGGAACAGAGAAATGATTATTTAAAAAAATATATTGAAATGTTCCTCAAATTGTCAAAATTTAACTCAAAATTTGTTTGTTATTAGCACCAGTAGTTAAGTTCATCTAGAAACGCCTTCTACATATTAAATGTTGGAAAATTATTGGTTTTATGTATTTCTTATCATGGCATGGTGTATTATTATTGTGTTCTAAATATAAAATCATCCTTGCACATGTTCATCAACTTAAAATTATATATTTTTTAAATTCCCAATTTTATGTCTGCCAATACATTACGTCATTAATATTTTATTTCAGAAATTCCAACGAAATAAGCAAAAATGTCTTTAAGTACGCAAAATGCAATATGTTGTTGTTTATTTCCACCTTCTGTATCTTAAAAATACCCTTAAAAGGAATTTTGTGGGCGACTCTAAACATATCCAGTCCGACACTGACTGGGACTACATTTGCTGCGAGCACGGATAAGGTTTCTCAAAATTAGCAAATCTTGTGATAAATCAGGAAGTCCGGCAACGGTGTGTTATTCAAAATAGCGCCAACAAGCGTGTACGACGAAAACATGGTTAAATAATGGGAATTACGATCCTTACCTGGGATAGGCCAGCCTTAAGTCTGACTTTAGCTTGGCCAGTAGCTCAGAAACGGTGCCAAACTGCCTCAGGGTCATTTCTGAACCGGAAGAGGTCAGCATCGGGTTCCTGTAGTCCCTGAAAGAGCCTTGGGACCTGTTACATTCCATTTCAGACGTACTGGAGTTGCTGTACAGAGAAATCAAGCCGTTGGCCGACTTTTTGCCCCACTTCTTCAACAAGATGGCGTAGTCTTCGGGGTTGTAGATCGGGGGACGCTGCTTTTCCTGTCACGAGAAAAAATATCTAAAAAGTTGTTACAAATTCGAAAAACGTATTCACAAAAGAATAAGAAAATGACAAGCAAAAAACAAAGAGGTGCAATGAAAGATTCTATGCGATAGAACAAATAATTTTAAGCAGTTTCATATGGACGTGGTTACAGGGCGTTGAAATTAAAAAAAGTCATATTTTCTAAAATATCTCTGAGGATATTTAACTGATGAAACCTAGGGCCACTGATTTAACTAAATGGAAGTAAAAACTTGCCAAGTTTAATTTTTTCCTTTTTTTGTTTCGATATATTCGAATTTTTGGTAGAAGAAACATTTTCAATTTAAAAAAATGAATAAAAGATGCAAAATTTATTCCTTAATTGATTTTTAACAAAAGTGACAATTTCAATCTCTCGGGTTAGGCTATTGATTATATCCAAAAAACAGGGTTAAAAGGAACTATTTCGTTCAAGCAATTTTATAGACGGGCTTTTTTCTCGTTTCACTACCTACTTTCCTACATTATTTATTGAAATCTCTAGATGAAAAGCTATATAGTTACTAACCAGACGCTTTTTTTGAAAATCCCTATACTGGAAGTTCCACATAATTGACCCAAGTCTGAATTACGGACAGATTAGAACGACGATAAAAATGACGATAACTATGACGATGATGATGACGATGAATATGAAGATAGAGATAGAGATGAAGATACAGATTAAGATGAAGATGGAGATTATTTTTTGTTGTTCTACGACCATTTTCCGCCAAGTTAAAGCCATTTGAAAAATCACCTAAAAATTTAGGACTTTTTATCCTTTAATTTTTGTGACTAGTGTATTTTTCTAAGAATCCCAAGGAAACAATAGTTACTAATTGTTATCTAACTGATGTCATAATAACGCCAATAATAATTGCAACTGTCAGATGTGCACTAGTCATAAAATGCAGTTTTTATAGCCAGATAGTTAGAACTGTTTCTATCCAATTGCATGGCGTTCAAGCAAGGCCAATTTCACATATGTACCAACTCCCATGATTAGCAATTAAAAACGATGATTATTAAACAAGTTATATCCCATACGAATGATTGTAATTTCGATATAATTATTACCAACACAACCGACAGTGTGGGTTTTATTATTTATAAAAACATATGGAATATTACTGCTGGTTTTTCTTATTGTTACAAGCATTGTTAGCACACAATTACCCAGGCGTAGTATGAAAATAAAGGTACGTCGTTAGAATGTATGGATTTTGAAGTAGTCTTATTAGTAATAGTTCATTTCGATGTACAAAGAGATAATTCATACATATTTATAACAAAATTTTAAATTAATTTGTAGAAACTTGTGTATTTTATATTAATATTTATAAATATATTCGTTAATAAATCTTGATATTTTCACTTTTTAGGTACCTCCACACTCATCTACATTTTAACTAAACAAACTTCAGTATTTTTCCGCTTTACGACTTCTAAACAAAATACAAACGATTTAATGCTTAAACATAAATATAGAAATATACATTGTACCAGAATGAATTATTTATAATTTTTTTAAAGTGTCGATAAATTATGATACTGTAGCCGATAGAAAGTTTAAATGAATATATATGCCTGTGTAAATAATTACCTTTATTATACAAAAATTGTAAATTATAGGCTCTACGCTATTATAAAAAGTGTTATTTATATCGGAAAGCAATGTTTTTTCAAATAATAATAGTACTGCATATGCGAGATCTACAAGTTTACGTAATACTTAGGTTTGTTATCTACAGGGTGATTAACGAATTTCATTCGTAGAAATACTGAAAACAATTAATAATTTTTTGATTACCTTTTATATATTTATACAGAGAAGTTCTGGAGTAATTAGATAAATTTAAACTTTGTATTAGGTGATCAGAATAAGGAAAAAATCTTCTATGCCGAAATTTGAAAGAAAAAGATATTTAACTCTTAACATTTTAACATTATTTTTACGCTCTCTCGTATTTTAATTATCAAATTCAAATTTTAAGTTGGGCCATTTAATTCTGAACCCTCGATACAAGTAATTTTTAACAATATATTTTTTAATGAGGGAGTCCCATGAATTTTATAACATCTTTTAATTTGGATAGACTTTTAAACTAGTATTTATGTTTTTAAATGGTCCACTCTGTATAAAAATAATCTTGTTTTTGATTTGTTAACACTTTCACCTACAGGAAAGAACAGATAGTTTGCTGGTATTAGATCTGGTGATTCAGCTGGCCATTTTACATATTCCCGTGGATCTAGTAGATTTTTCGTTTGTGTTGTCTTTAACATGTGAAAATAAAATTGTTACCTTATTCATTGTTTCGTCCATGAACGGAAACCGACCCATCCTCACTGTTTCCTCGGAATTTGGCGGCATGCTGCTGCCAGATTCGAATAGTTCACTGGAAAAGAAAAAGAAAAATAAGGTTATGCAATTGGAACTTAACAAAAGTTTTTTGCCATCTTATACAAGAAAACAAAAAGTGTCTAAATATGTTTCCTTCATACAATTTGTAACGTTTTGTGGGTACATGTTGCAAGTGACCCATTTTTAAGCATTACGTCAAGAGCGCCAGCAGGACGCCGCCGGACGCACCAGCGTTCCAGGAAGGGTCTACGGCGGACTGGCGCCGGCGACCAGATGCGTACTCGTATACCTACGACCGACTCCACACACAGAGACTCTCCAACAAACCCTCAAACCGTCAACACGTCTTTTTCTATATAACTTAGTTTTCAATAAAATACTATATTGTTACCGTTGAGAGCGCGTTTTATTGTTGCTGTACAGCGAGCAACCCTCATTGTTTATTTGTATCTTGCACTTAATTTCATTTCAAATAAAAATCGTAAACTGAGATCCTTATGCAACATGCAGAGTAGCGATGTGGCGAGAACAACGCCAAAGAAACTGCTTTACAAATTATTTTTAAACAAGGATTATGTAATTCGTCGCATATAAGGCACCGACAAGTTATGGCCAAAGAGAACAATGTGGAAGAAATTAGTTGTGCATGTCAGACGTTGCGAAATCCTATTAATTCTCGTTAAGTACGACTGTGCCAAGCTTAGCGCGATGTTTCTCTTGTACTAGATAAGAGGCAGAGACGACTCAACCTTGCATATGCTCTAAAAAATATGTAAGATACTGTATCTCAGAAAACATACATATCATCGCAATTTTTTTTAATTCAGCGATTGTTTGTCTAATAGACGTTTAACTGAAGTGTCCCTACCATTTCCCTTATATTTGTTACGTTAAATATATACTCTTTCGATCACTAAAAGTAAAAGTAATATACGTATAGATAACATCACTTAAAAAAAGAATTAATACATTATTAAATAATATATCGATCCAACGTTGTACTATATCTTAATCTTGTTACGATTACGTCTGACAACATTTTTTATTATACACACATTCATTTTGTTACTTCCGATACCCATATCAAGATAAGCAAAAAACATACTAATTAATATTCAGCATAAACAAGGTTATCTATTCTTCGAAGATTATCCTCGGCAAGCATCTGTATCCCATCAAGAATACCACGAATTGTGGTCCTTACGAAATTTTTTTATGGCTTCTTAAGAACTCTTCTCGGGTCAGAGAACTGTAAAAATTTACAACGCCGAAGTCAGCAGGAAAGGATCTGTCACGAGAAAATAATAATTTTAAGATTTTTATGTGCCACGTCTTATGCCATTTTATGGGCAAATAAATTCGTTTTAATTATGTGACATAGCATTAATTAGTTTAAAAAACTTGCACTGATTAAAATAAATATGGCAATTGCCGTGACAAACGCTAGATGGCGTCGTCTGGTTCAGGTTATAGACGACAGATGGCTGGAAATAAATTAAAGCCGTTCAAAATTAGATTTTCTCGCAATTACATGTTTAATTCTCAGCTTGGAGTGTCTACCTTGAGCCGCAGAGAAAGTGGAAAGAAAATGTTCAAGAACGGACTGAAAAAGAGGACAATTTATAGTGGGACAATGGGCGGTTCTTTGCCCGTTTTAATCAGGCAAAAAATAATTAGTGTGGGGAGATATTTGATCGATTAGAGAAACCTATCAGAAAATGATTCGATTATCGAAAGTAAAAGCGACGTCTAGACAGCTATTGGCGTGCATAAGATTAAAATTAGATTATAACAATTTTTTTGTAATCGAAATTTCACTCATTAAATTAATCATTAATAATTCAAATCAGTTCAGCATTTTTTTATCAGCTTCGACATATGTTTGTTTCACTAATATATCTTTAGTAGGTATCCAGGTAATTAATTTTTTCCTATGACTGATTTATTATTATAGTCCGGTCAAATTAGTCATAAAAATAGTGGTCAAATAACGAAAATTCCGTCAGAGCTAAATTTTGGTGGAGACCTTGGGTAGACCATTAGAAATAAAGTGTCAAAAGTCCCCATCGATCCCATGTGCGCTAAAAAAGTTATTCGGGGTCAAAGGTTCAAAGGTAAAAAATTTGAGGTTTCTTGGATTTTTTTCGAATACGGTAAGTTTTATCAAAAAAGTATTCCGGACAAAAATTATATATCTTAAAATTATCTACAAAAATGGACCTTATACTTTTTTTTCTAAGAACCACCATTCCTGAGATATTGCCATTCTAAAAGTTGAAGGAGTCACTCTACATGATATGCACATATATGCAACGTATATACATAGTCAGGCACTTAATACAAGTAAAAATGCTTATTTGTGTCTCTTATATCTATAAACTATACTATTCTGAGAATATACACTCAAAAGAAACTCAGTCCCTTAGTCAATCCCCTCTACCCGCATGGCCTTGAATAACATCTGGCTACTCTATTGTAAAAACTTTTGTAAAAAATACACGAAACAAGAGACAAGTACAACTATCTTGTCTTCCTCCAACATCGGCTTCTGCTAATCAACACTTGTATCGCGTATACTACCAAGTTCATACATGGCTAGGCAATCAAGTGAACCCAGAAGACTGGGGTTGGAAATTAACAGATAATACTTTGGAACTGATTCAAACTTTACTCCCACTTGCTCCGGAAAAACTCCTAAACACTATTTCTTGTAATTGCAAAAAAGGTTGTAGTGCTAAATGTGGCTGTAGAAGAGTAGGGTTACTGTGTTCTCCAGCGTGTACTAATTGCCAAAGCCAGTCTTGCTCAAATGTCCAACTGAATACAACAGACGAAGATTCATGTGATTTCGATGAAGATACAGCTGATTCGTCTTCATTTGAACAAGAAGAAGAAGAAATCGAAGAAGATATGACTGTTGAAGTCGACTTTGAAGAGTATGAATCAGATTAAAATATCAAAAGAAATCAGAACAACAGTTAAAGTCAATAACCAATATCAATAATCATCAAGCAGTTAAAAGAGTATTGTCCCTGAAAATTCCGTCATAACAGTTCGTGAAGTAGCCCTACCGGAGAAACCACGTTAAAAAACGCGCCAAAGTACACTACCTCACAGGTGGTGTGGAAATGTGTGCATATCATGTAGAACGTGACTCCTTCAACTATTAGAATCGCGATATCTCAGGAATGGTGATTCTTAGAAAAAAAGTATAATAACCATTTCTGTAGATAATTTTAAGATCTATAAGCTACTTTTTTGATAAAACTTACCGTTTTCGAAAAAAATCCAAAAAACCTCAAATTTTGACCTTTGACCCCGAATTACTTTTTTAGCACACATGGGATCGATGGGGACTTTTGACACTTTATTTCTAATGGTGCACCCAAGGTCTCCACCAAAATTTAGCTCTGTCGGAATTTTCGTTATTTGATATGTCTATTTTGACCGGACTATTATTTTGTCGAACTAATCAGAAAGTCTTCGACAATATTGACCAGTCCTTTAAAGATGATACTGCAAATATTTCGTGTATGACAAAAAAATTTAATTTGATAAAAGTTGTGCAAATAGCCATATTCTTTATCTAAAGTTTTATTATGCAATACAGAACTGGTAAGTAGAAATCGAAGGAATAAAAACATTTTATCAAAAATTGACTTTTAAAGTTTTTAAATGAAGTGCATGACCTGTGAGTACATAGTATAATGGCAAAATAAAGCAACCTAAGCCAGTACGATCAGAAAACTACTTCTTAATATACGGGGTGATTTTTATATTTTCACTAACATTTTTTTAGCTATCGTTTTCGAAGTATTTGTGAGAATTAATTTGTCTTTGGTATGTATCATGTACCTACCACTAGAGACCGACATACTCTTGATATCTGAATTAAAAAATCTCAGGACCGTACTGGGAAAACCTTGAAAGTACATTTAACAATTTAATGCAACATTTTTCGTCTTTTTTCGATAGTTTTCTTTTGAGTGTTCACTAAATCAATAAAATTATTATTTTTTTAATTTCCCTACGATGTTCCCCAGCTTTTAGTATAAAGTACCAAAAATTTTTTGTGTTTTTGTTCCAAGGCCATCCCTAAATAAGAAACCTGTCCTGCCATACAGCCCTCTGAAAAAAAAGGTGTCGTTGCTTGCCATCACCTACAGCCTCCATTTTGAATCCAAATCGTTTGAAAAAAATCACAATATTAACCGAAAACATGTACAATAAAGCCATTTTGTTCCCGACACTATATCTTGTATCGATTTTTCTTTGAAAATTCCTGAAAATCACATTTTTTCCAATCACCAGAGTGGAGTTATCCCTTAAAGTAATTTGTTCTATTACTTTGAAGGAACGCATTTATTTCAGAAACACCCTGTATATTATTTATTTTCATCGTAAAGAGTAAAACAAGAAACGTATATCGCGCACACAGGCACGTTTTGTCCGCATCGACAAGTTCGATAGTGCGTGGAGCCCTTTAGCTTTGTGGGTCGTCTCTAGCGCGGCATTCTCCTCCTGGTCATCTCGGCCCAAGCAGATCACGTACGCGGAACCATAATTTAACTTTGTAATAACGCTCGCGTCCGAGAAGTTATCCCAAGAACAAAGCGGCAGTATGCAAACCGATCGAAATCGATCTTCCAGGCCGTGCGGCTCGCAGAATGCATTTTTTTACCCCGATCCTTGTGTGCAGGCTACGTGAGTCAGTTTAGAAGCGGATTCCGGTCATAACGGTACGGCCGAGATCGTCGTTTGTTTATAGTTCCTAGTTTGCAGGGGCAGCTGCGATGTTTTATACGATTTTTGCCGGGTTTCGACTCGTTTTTCCTCTCGAAGCGACGTTTAAGAAATAGAATTAGAGTAAATAAGTCATATTACAAGAAAAAAAACAAGGTGGCGCTATGTACAGGGTGACTATCCCTCTTTATCTTTTTTAACCATCCATTAGAAAGAAATAGTACAAAAAGTTTAAGAAAACTTATAAATATATAAGAAAAACAAATGAATGTTGCATTTCGGAGACATAAT